TATATATATATATATATATATATGAGTTGACATGTTACATCTCGCATTTTTTTTGTACGTTAAAGTTTCGTCTTCAGTAAATTGACGTAAATTTGGGGATAATATTATCTGGAGGTTAGCATATTTATGCTAGTTATGACAAGCGATAAATAAGTATCATGAATGATAAATGATGCACGAATTAGAGAAAACAAGTTTTGTTGAAAATGGCCAATTTGGGATAAAATACGGATCAAGTAATAATACCCGATAATTATGAACTAGTACCATGCAAGATACCATATGACCACGGTAGTATAACGTATATAGTATATATAAAGTATATTAAAAATAAGTTGAATTTTAAGTAATTTGAAACAATTTATAAATTATGCGGGTAATAAGTTAATTATCGGGTATCAAAACATTACCCGATTAACTAATAAACGGATAAAAACTTGATAATTATCCCCAAACACACGTGGCAAGAAGCCACCAAGATAAGGAGTGACTAAGTAGTCACTTATTATGCCACCTAGGCATAAACAAGATTGGAGGATTACGTTATCTTCCAAAAAATCCATATGAATCAAAAATGACTCCAAAACAAAGTTAGTCTTTCAAAACTTTAAAGAAAAAAAAACGTTTCCCTTTGAAATTCCAATATGAATCAAAGGAATTCAAAAACATTCAAGAACGTAAATCATTCAAATTCTTATGGAACCGGAAACGTTTTCCTCTCAAATCAAAATTTGTTGTTTCGTTCCAAATTTTTTAAGAATCAGAAACAAGTTTTCGTCCATGAATTTCTAAGGAGCGGAGGAAAATTTCGTTCAATCAATGAAGGTTTTCCAACAAAATATTATACGAAGTTTTCCCTGCTCCAGGTATGTTAAGGCTAAGCTTTTCCTTCATTTTAGCATGATATTGTAATTACACAAGTTTGATAACGAGGCATAGAGAAAAATTCGTATCCCAGAATTTACGTATATATTGCTAGTCTCGCAAATTACATATATTTTTCTAGTTTTGTAAGTTACCATATTCTTCTTATCGGGACTGCATATTCAATTGAGTATTTTCTTCTTCCGGTCAAAAGAGCAGAAAGTTTACATATATACAATATTAAAAGTATTTTCATTACCATCGAGCTATAATCGATGGGCAGGCCTCTATTGGGAAACCTCTGATCAGATGGTAAGTTATATACCGAGCCTGCTATGGCCGAGCGCCTATGAGCGAGCCCAGTTGGTTGAGATACAGAGCCCAGTATGGCCGAGCGCCAATGAGCGAGCCTACTACGGCAGAGCAGTTATATATATATATACCGAGCTTTATAGGGCCGGGCAACTATTTTACTCACTATATTGAGAGAGTTGAGTTAGCATCAGCAGATGAGCATATCTTCAGATTTTCTTTGACCCCCAGTTGTTTTTAGTTATTATATTATCAGTTCAGTTTTAGCTTCAGTATATTGCCTTACATACTTGGTACATTATTTCGTACTGACGTCCCTTTCTGGGGGCGCTGCATTTCATGCGTGCAGGTTCAGACAGACAGACGGGTAGACCTCCTCAGTAGGTGTTGTCCGAGTTCAGCTTTATCGGTAAGCTCCCCTTTTTTCGGAGTTGTCGAGTCTAGTAGTGTGGTGTATATCTTGTGTATATATGTGGATAGGTTATGGGTAGGTTGGGGCCCTGTTCCGATCCCAGTACATCTATCAGTAGAGGCTTGTAGACATATCTTGTCAGTTAGTGCAGTATGTTGGGCTTGTAGGCCCTGTACGTATATTTTGTTGGTTTGTCAGTTGTAGTAATTATGACGGCCTTGCCGGCCCAGCTTTATGTTGACATTAGTCAGCGTTAGTCTCCATTTAGTTTTATATTTTGTATCGGACATTATCTTGTAATGTGGCCCATTGCCAAAGTATGACATTATATGTTCAGATTCTCTTAGTCGCAAGTGGTACGCAAGGATAGATGAGGCACTAGGTGCCGGTCTGTGACGACCCGACAAGTCATCTCATGAGTTACCGCTCTGTTTCCCCCATTTTTGCTTCTTATTGCTTTGTCTAATGGTTTTATATGTGATCGGGTTGATTGGTTCGGGTTTAGAAATGATTTGGTAAGGTTTGAGAAACTTAGTCTCTTTTGAGGAAGCTTAAGTCGGAAAAGTCAACCGGATGTTGACTTATGTGTTAGAGGGCTCGGATGTGAGTTCCAATAGTTCGGTTAGCTTTGGGAGGCGATTTGGGACTTAGGAGCATGTTCGGAATGAGTTTTGGAGGTCCGGAGTAGATTTAGGCTTGAATTGGCGAAATTGGATTTTTGGCGATTTCCGATTGATAGGTGAGATTTTGATATAGGGCCGGAATGGAATTCTGAGAGTTGTATAGTTCTGTTATATCATTTGGGATGTGTGTGTAAAAGTTCAGGTCATTCGGATGTGGTTTGGTTGAGTTTTTGATCAAAAGCGTAGTTTAGAAGATTTTGGAAACTTAGGCTTTAATCCGATATGTTTTGGTTGATTCTTTGTTGTTTGAGGTGTTTTGAAGATTGATATAAGTTTGAATAAGGTTTTGGGATATGTTGGTGCTTTTGGTTGAGGTCCCGGGGGGCCTCGGTGTGATTTCAGATGGTTGACGGAGAGTTTGAGATTTTTGGTGAAGCTGCAGATTTTTTGCATTGGTATTTCCGCACCTGCGGATTGGGGACTGCAAGTGTGATGCCGAAGATGTGAGGAAAGGACCACATAAGCAGTCAAAGAGGAGAAGGGCAGAAGCCACAGATGCGGTGGGCTTACCGCACCTGAGATGGCGCAGGTGCGGCTACTTGGTCGCAGATGCGATTTTGGGACTTTTAAGTGAAAGCCGCAGAAGCGGCTCATTGACCGCAAATGTGGTACCGCAGAAGCGGTAACTGGGCCGCAGGTGCGGAATCCCTTGTCCAGAAGGTATATATTGTTTCCTTCGCGAAATTTTGCTAAGTTCTCCATTTTTTAAGACGGGAAGCGAGCTAGGGTAGTGATTTCAAGGGAAGATCGAAGGGAATCAGTTGGGTAAGTTCCCTAAGCTTCATTATTTGGATTTATGATCATTTTTTCATTGTTTAATCGTGGTATTAGTGGAGATTTAGGAAGTAAAATTGGGGATTAGGGCTTGAGATTAAGAGACTTTAAAATGGGAATTGAGGGGTCATTTGGACTCCGATTTCAGTATTCTTGATATGTATGGACTCGTGGAAGGAAAAGGATCCCGTTGATGGACTCGTCAATGGATTTTGAATAGATTAGGCCTGAGTGGAGGACGAGGTGAGAGGCAAAGACATCGCTGAGTAGTGTTTTTCCGGTTTGAGGTAAGTAACCATTGTAAATGTGGAACTGAGGGTACAAAACCCCGGTATTTGAATTGTTTTGATAAATGCGGCGACACACATGCTAGGTGACGAGCGTGTGGGAGTGATCCGGTAGGGATTGTGACTTGGTCTGTCCCGTAGCGACTATTAAGCCGCGTATTTAATTTGAAACTCTATGATATTCCGTACTTTAGTCATTATACTGTATAATGGGATGTATGCCATGTTTGGGGCCTTGTGCCGACCTGTTGATACCCTTAGGGGCATTTTTTCGGTTTTTCCTCACTCTACTTGTTTTAAAGCATATCCTCAGTCATGTTTTACTTGTTTAATGTTTAAAACAGGTTTTATCACTCTAATTCTTAAATGTAAGGACTGTTTGTACTAAGTTCCCTAATTCCTACTGCTGTGCCTGAGAGGTTGTGAGGTTAATGACTGAGAGAGGTTGAGAACCTAATGGTGATGATATTTATATATGTATGAATTATGGATCGGGCTGCACGCCGCAACGATACTTATATGGATCGGGCTGCCCGCTGCAGCGATATGATACTTGGGCTGTAGGAGCCCCTCCGGAGTCTGTAAACCCCCAGTGAGCGTAGTCGACTATAAATTATGGATCGGGCTGCCCGCTGCAGCGATATGATACTTGGGCTGTAGGAGCCCCTCCGGAGTCTGTAAACCCCCAGTGAGCGTAGTCGACTATAAATTATGGATCGGGCTGCACGCCACAACAGTTACTGTGATTATTATTATTATTATGAGATATTAATAAGCCTGAGTGCTGAGAGTGAGTACTGAGTGACGAAAGTTGAGTCACGAGTGAATGACAGGTTTCCCGAGAGGCCATAGACTGAGTGATACCTTACCCGAGGGGCCCATTTATGATATTTTCACGGATTTCACTCTTCTTTTAAAATAAGCCTCTGTTGAAAAATTTCTAAGTATATGATATCAAGTATTCCAACTTAAACTGGATATTTTATGATGAAACTGGGTTTAAACTGTGGAGTTTGATCCGTTATTCTATTGTTTATTCCTTTATATGATTTTAACTGCTCGTCGCTACTTTCAGACCTTATTTACTTTAGTTACTTACTGAGTTGGTGTACCCACGTTACTCCCTGCACCTTGTGTGCAGATCCAGGTGCCCGAGCAGCAGAGTAAGGGTCCTCAACTTATCCAGAGTTTACCGGAGATTGCAAGGTGACTGCATGGCATCTGCATCCCTACTTTCCTCCTTCCTATCTTTTTCTTTTTTGCATTTTTTTGGACTTATGATGTATTAGACAGACGGTTGTGTATTTAGAGGCTCTAGACTTGTGACACCAGATGTTTGAGTTGTGTTGTCTTATGTTTTATTGACTTCCGCCCATATTAATTGTTTTAAACATTTATTATGAAAAATTTGGTATTTAAACCCGTGTTAGAAAATTATTTATTAAAAGAAAAAGGGTTATGATCGATGTTTGGGTTGGCTTGCCTAGTAATGTGATAGGTGTTGTAACACCCCGGAAAAAAATTGAAGTACTTAAGCGCTATTAAGAAAGTTGATGTGTGCTAATTATATTGTTTTGTCTGCGAACGAGGACTATTAATATGATGGATATCAATTGGATATGATAATAAATGTATGAGGCATATTATAAGTGATTTGGGGTCTAAGAAGAGGCCTAAGTCCAAGCCAAGTTGAAAATTTTCATTATAGACGAAAGTTTTGAATGAGCACGCACAAGACCAAACTTTGGACGAGAATATCTGAATAAATATAAGGAGTTATGTGATGAACAACCTATCAAATGAAATATTTTCGAATCTAGTTTGTAACGCTTCAAACCGTTCATCATTTGGACACTCATACAAGAAGTTATGACCAAATTACCAAATACTGCCGAAAATTGTACTACCGCGCCGCCCCATGCGGCGCCTGGCGCGCCGCGCCTATAGGGAATTCCAGAATGATTCGAAATTTCATTTCCAGACACATTTTTTACAGCCTCCCCATGCCCCGCAGTGTCCCATGCACCGCGGATGTACAAAAATGGGGTTTTAAGACCCGAACTCCATTTCATTTAACTCGTTTGGGGTTTTTGTTTTTGGGATATTCTGGTGCTTTTAGAGAGAGGGATGAGCAATTCTAGAGGGAGGAATAAGCTCAAGTGCCTTGTTCATCAAAACTCTTGTCCAATCATTGAAATCCAACAAGAAATCCCTCAAGATCTTCATCTAAGTGGTAAGGATCTATACACTGGACTTTAATTTCGAGTTTGGGGTATACGATGGGTTATTGTGATATGATTCTTGGGTGTAATAGTATTATGTATGCATGCATGTATAAATTAGGTTTGTGGGAAGATTGTTGAACACAAATAAGTAAAGATTGAGTTGGGGAATGAGGAAAATCTTGTAGAAGAGCTTTGAAATCAAGATGCACAACTAGTGTTTGATAAAATGCTCAAATGAGCTAGAATTATGATCATCTTCCTAATTTTGGTTCAGATTGTTATGTTTTCAAAATAGATTGAAGTTGCTAAGAGTCCTGGAATTTTGTAAGAATTTAAGGAAATCTCTATTGAGGTATGCTGGCTAAACTTTCTCTCCTAGAATCAAATTCCATAAATGTTTTCGTAAGTTCAAGTATGGTTGGCTCAAAATTTCTAATTTCTATATTCCGAGTTATTACCTATAAACTTGACTATTCTGAAATGAGCTTATGAATGAAGATATATGACAAAGTATGGATTGCGTAATAAAATGTTACGACTTTGTGTCGTGTTTCAAATGAAGGCTTGTATGCCAAATTGTGTGAGAAAGTTCGATATGCTTAAGGCTCATAATTGCTCATATGTATACCTAAAGTCTTGATTGAAAATGTATTGTTGGTAAAATATAAAGATGTTTGGAAGTGAAATAAGTGCATTGTGGAATATGAAATATTGCCATTGCGCCATGAAAGAAGAATCGTATGTATGGCCAAAAAGAGCAAAAAAATTAATGATGTTGTGCGTAGCTAAAGGTACCAATGAAACTAAGTACGATATGAAAGGTAGAAATCGAGCTCCCATGGTATCCATGCAAATATTGTAAGTCCGGAATTTGATTGATATAGTACTTGTTATTTCAGAGGAATTGGTGTTGCAAGATATATGTGAAATGTGTATCTCAATGTGTTCAATATGCTATTCTTGGTAAATTGAGGATATGTGAAGAATGTGAACCCTATGGACGGGCTATGAAACGCATAGGAGTGTAATATAATATGTGGATCCTATGGATGGGCTATGAAACACGTAGGTGTATAATATAATATGTGGACTCTATGGA